GGCACGCCTGCCCGAGGCCCACTTCCGGTCATCGATGCCCACCCACCACCCGCTCCCGGTCCCACTTCCTGTTTCCGGCAACGACTGTGACGCCACATCCGGCGTGCGGGCGCGTGGCCTGAAGGCCGGCGGAGCACGTGGAACGCGCTTCGAGACTTGTCCCCGAGCTCTAGCTGCTTCGGGGGAGTACTTACCCCACGGCTGGTCGTGTGCTCAGCACCAGGGCTCTGCACTTGTTATGCGGATGGCAAATATGAGCCTGAGCCTTGGCTGGCTGGCCCTCCTGCGCCAGGATGCTCCCTGTGATCCTGAAAGAACTGGGCTGGGGTGTGTCTCAGTGGTGGAGCACTCTCTCTAGGCGCTGCTCCACACACACCCGGCCCTGCTAAAGAGAAAATCGTGTTCTCTTCTGCAGCACATACAATATACTAAAAATAGAACGATACAAGGATGGCCCTTGCTCAAGAATGACACGCAAGTTGTGAAGCGTTTCTATTTTTGAAAAGAGACGGAGAAAAAAAGATGGGATTGTTCTATACCCCCTCCCCATTTTTGGTTTTTTGAGTCAGGGTCTCACTTTGTAGTGCGAGCTGGCCTTGAACTCTGTTTGTAGCCCAAACTGGCTTTGAACTTGTGGCAGTCCTCCTCCTGGTTCAGTCTCTCGAGTACTAGAATTACAGGTGTGTGCCACCAAGCCCAACTTCCTGGCTTTTTTGTTTTAAAACAAGGTCTAGTCCATCCTGGCTTCAAATTCGTGATCCTTCTTCTGCTTCAGCCTCCTAAATGCTAGGATTACAAGAGTGAACCACACCGTTTTTTTCTTTTAATGAGACAGGTCTGCCTAGTCTAGGCTGATCTTACAGCCTAAACTGGCCTTGAACTTTCCAACCTCCTGCCAGACTCCAGTGTGCTATAGGGCAATTTTCTGTGTCTGTGTAGATACCCAGCTCCGAATGTGCTGTTTCTTCTGCCTACTTCCTTCCCTGAGGAGGTGTGCAGGCAGGTAGTTCTGAAGAAACTGAACTGCTTACTACCTGGGGACCCTGGAACATTGCTTACTCCCACAAGCTACCCTTAACATTCTTCCTTAAAAGACAAAAATTTCTGGTGAAATAACCTCAAAAACATTCTCAGTGTATAGAAATGGAAGAAGCTATTTCCTGTCACTGACAAAATGGGAATTTTTTTAAAACCCACACATGATCATAA